AATAATGATAATAAAAATAATAACAGCAGTTACACCAATAATAATAATAATAATGATAGAAATAATCAAACAATTAATTGATAAAGTAAAATAAAACATTTTATAATACAGTATCTTTACATAGTGAGAAAGCACCATAAAACTCAGTTCAAAGATATATATAGCGACACAAAACTACCAGTCATACATATTATGGTAGAGAAAAATCTTAAAAATACCTATCGTAAAAGTTATTCTAAATAACTGGCTTTCGATGTTTGCACAGGGAGGGTTCATGGAGTACTAAAAATTTGTACTGAACACCTACCACTGAATAAGTGTACAAAAGTAAATTATAACACATTACCCAAATGGAGGAAGGGTGGGAGAGGGAGAGGGAGAGGGAGAGGGAGAGGGAGAGGGAGAGGGAAAGGGATAGGGAGAGGGAGCGGGAGAGGGAGAGGGAGAGGGGGAAGAGAGGGGGGGAAGAGAGGGGGGAGGGAGGGAGGGAGGGAGGGAGGGAGGGAAGAGAGAGAAAGAGAAAGAGAAAGAGAGAGAGAGAGAGAGAGAGAAAGAGAGAGATGGGGGGGGGACTGAGAAAGAGGCTGACAGACATAGACAGACAAAACATAGAGACCTTATCTATAATTACACACACACACACACACACAAATAATAATGCTGCATTGATGATCATCATCATCACAAAATCCCTTTTTTGCAAAAACAAGGACAGTACTTTTATGAGGCAGATAGAAAATAATAACCCTTACCGGACCCCAAACAAAAGCAGGTCTTTAACCCACTTTGCTTGGAGACCACAACGGCCTTATGCCATGCACATTACCCCTTTAACAGAGCAACCTTCAAAAATATACATTATAATAAAAAAGAAAAAAAAAGAAAAGAAAAACAACCATAATCATAAGAATTTTAACCTACTGCCATCAGGGATAGAACATCCGCACATGCCATGCCCACAGTGAGTTTGATTTATTAATTGTATTTACACAAACATGGCTTCACGAGTACATAGACACCAATGAGCCGATCACTAGTCTGACCTTTCTCACCTGTTCCCCCTTTTCCTTGATTTTAGGAAATATTTAATTTAACTTTCTATTACTATTAGTGTTGTTAATAATACTGTAATAATTATAACTACAATAATAATAACAGCATCAATATTAATAGCATTAGAGAAAAAAATCCCTAAAACCTTAAGAAAGAGGAAGATCAAGCGAAGGTACAGAGACTATTACAGACTATTAATCGACTCTTTGCTAGCTGAGCGCTTGTGGAGCCATCTATACGTAGACACATTTCACAAACAATACTACAGTGAACTTCATAGTTTCCCAGCGGCATTGGGGTTCAGAATGCTTCATTAAACCGGAATAATAATGATGATAAAGAAAAAAAAAAAGACGACTAGCAGCCACTCTCATTCAGTTTACCATAAAGCTACCGACGGAAGCAAAATAATCATAAAGCTCTTCCAAATATATGTAATGACCCCTTTCATCATTGCAGATCATTACAAAGAGGAAAAATGCATTTATCATTCACTGTAACTAATCAAAGGAACAGCACTGACCATTTCTTAGTTTGAATTTCTCTAAACGGGGTTATTAAGGCTCTCCTCACTTATTCAAAATCACTTTCAGACTTCAAAAGTAAAACAAATTATAGGACCTCTGACACGTAACACATACCCTACTGTACATGACAATTAGAGAGCAACTTTCTGAGTTTTCTTTTACTTTTCTTTTCTTTTCTTTGTAAATTTCACACATATTCTAATTCAATTTTTCACAATGAACGTCTAGGAACAATTTCTACTTCAGACAAGTCTAAGATGGTGTACAACAAAACACCAAACATCAGACTTTTTCATTACAATACTATACGTCTCATTAACATACACACGTAAATGGAAGACTTCATTGAAACAGTAATGCACATAACGTCTCTTTGTCCATTCATTTCAACGAAGATTATAATATACATATACATTTTTTTTTTCATATATGCATTCATCCTAAACACAGTAAAAGAATGTATATATATATATTCTTTACCTATAACATTACACATTTTCTTTTATCTTGTAACTAAGTCTCTTTTTGAAATGAGATGAGCTTACAGTTAAATAATGAGAATATTAGTGGAACTCCAGGAGGGTTTGAAACTGTTGTCTCACCCTTCAATGAACCTGGTTGGTGGACTGTGTTTTTTCTACTGTAACATGAACACGGTAGAGCGTTCTCCCATTTGTTATTAGGACATTATTAAAGTTAACCTGCAGATTTAAGTAACTCCATAAAGATTCATTTCAAATGGATTTTGAGGAATGTTAACTCAAAGGCATATATATTATATATGTACATATATATATATATATATATATATATATATATATATATATATATATATATATATATATATATATATATATATATATATATATATAAAATATCAGTTGTCACCTGTGAAATGCCTAAATTACTGCTGACCAAAACTTTTGCAGTTTACACTCTGCTGACTCCATTAAGTGCTCACCTACTGAGTCTGTGGGTGGCTGCTGCACATGTAGGCTGAGCATAATGTACTAGAACACAGCTGTACCAGATAATATAAACCATTACAGATCATGTAGTCTGAGAGGCTAAACATTACTTTATCATTTGGTAAATCCAATGATATACACACTATTTCTGGAAAGGCAGACCATTTTCCCCATAATCATATTTTATGCATTCCTCTATATAAATCAAAGCATCTGGAGATTAAACATGCAATTAAACAAAGACATTTCAGTGTTTTTGCCTTGTGTTCAACCATGATCATGGGATGGAAGATATTCCATTCCCTGCAAGATATTCACTTGTCCTGTTGAACAACAAAGTCTTACTATTGTTAATTTTGTCTTGTGCAATTTTTTAACTTGATTCAACTTCTAAGCATTTAATCAGGCCTTTCAATGAACAAATGTCTACGTACACATGTAGATTTTAATACAGTTAATTTCGCCAAGAGAAAATTATAACTTTCAACAATTTACACAGATCTAGGCAAAAATCTTGGTATGCTTATGTCAGCAGATGGTACACAGCCAATGTAAACTGCAGGGCTGTTGGTTGCAGGTGTCCTCATACTAATATATTACTTGTACACAATCTACCTCAGTTACAGACTGTGCTCTGTTGACATCTACACTTATTCTGTGGCCACATTCCATTACCATACATCACAGGTGAACACCAATAGTATATATGATATTACACTCAACCAGGTGTACAACTAAAAAAAGGTAGTATGTCTTAAACTGAATGCATGTACAGATGTAACCATACCATACATTCCAACCATTGAATATATAAAAAAATAAGAATATATAAAAAATCTACCCATTAATAAATCATTGGCTACTACAACACAGTAACAGAGCATATTTTGAGACAACCTCCTCAATGCTGTAACCAAAAAAACATGATAACTACACTTCTTCTTAAATCTACAACCATACAAGAATAACTCATGGCACGTTGGTGTTCTTTTGCATAACGTGTGGCCTTTCAGATCAACCACTACTCAGTACATTGAGCAGACAACAACCTACATCACTGAAATTTTTTATTAGAATTGTTGTAATAGTCATCATTCTACAAAAGCAAAAATGCATTATTCGTACTCAACAGCAAAAACTGGAAATACCCTACAGAGAACAGAGCCAGAAAACAATGGCTCTCTCTTGATAGAGTAAAATCACAAAGGTTTATTATCATATAATTATCACCTGTAAATCTTCATTAAATTGCACTTTCATGTCATTTTTGTGTTGCGCTCTGTGTGATAGATTTTGTAGTCATTTGGAAAAAGACTTTTTGCTGAATAACATGGGATATAGATGATGATGATGATGGAAGAAAAGGAAAGAAAAGAAAAAAATGAAAGAAAAAAATCTGAAATGCTGATGATGATGGAAGGAAGAAAAGAAAAGAAAAGGAAAGAAAAGAAAAAAGAAAAGAAAATCTGAAATGATGATGCTGATGGTAATATTTGTTGTTACAATAAAGGTTAAAAGAAAAAAAAAAGCTGATGATAATAATAATAATAATAATAATAATAATAATAATAATAATAATAATAATAATAACAATAATCACTACAGCACTACAAACTACTTCTTTCTCAATAAAAAATCAGCGCAGCTTTGAAACTGCTAGTTTCTGAAGCGAGAATCAAGGTATTTCCTTATGGGTAGACTAAGCTATGCGAATACACTACAAAATACAAAGAAGAGGCATCTAAATCATCTCTATAGGCCTTATACTATCATTACACTCTATCAAAATATACATCATTTTATGGATCAAAAAATTTCTTCTAGTTTTCCCTGGGTTAAATTCTGTGCCTTTGTAACCTACACAAAAAATAAGCACACAATATTACCCCAGTTCCTAATAATATGCATCGTCTATCAAAGTCTTTATTTTTAAAGCATTGTAGTATTTCTATATCTTACTGGCAAACAAAGACATGAAAATATCTCAGGGAGGTTTCTGCACGACACAGGCATTCTGCTTTCAATTTTTTTTTGTCTTGCTTTGGGAAGCTCTCAGAATCCAGCAATGCTAAGTTTTAATTATACATCTCCTATATATATGTATATATGCATGTATATATATATGCATGTATGCACATGTGTGAGAGAGAGACAGAGACAGAGAGAGAGAGAGAGAGAGAGAGAGAGAGAGAGAGAGAGAGAGAGAGAGAGAGAGAGAGAGAGAGAGAGAGAGAGAGAGAGAGAGAAAGTGAGAGAGAGAAAGTGAGAGAGAGAGAGAGAAAGTGAGAGAGAGAGAGAGAAAGTGAGAGAGAGAGAGAGAAAGAGAGAGAGAGAGAGAGAAAGAGAGAGAGAGAGAGAAAGAGAGAGAGAGAGAAAGTGAGAGAGAGAGAAAGTGAGAGAAAGTGAGAGAGAGAGAGAGAGAGAGAGAGAGAGAGAGAGAGAGAGAGAGAGAGAGAGAGAGAGAGAGAGAGAGAGAGAGAGAGAGAGAGAGAGAGATATCATCTGCATGTGTATGTGTATTCCTGGGTAGTATATGCCTGAACATGCAAGTGCAAATGTGTGCGTATGTGATCACTGTGAATGTGCAGCTACATCTGTGCATGCATATGTATATAGTATGTGCATGTGTATCTTTTATCTTTCACTCTGTATTCATGAGATAATAATTCTGATATGATTATATACATACAAAGCTCATGAAAACAATCTTCAAACCAAAATGAAAATACAAAAAGCTAAATAAGAAACCTTAAAGTCTAAATGAATAATGCATATACAACTCCAATGTAAATGGCTGTGATAAGTAAAGTTACTGAGCTATGATAATGTACAAATACTATGCCCATCCTCCCAAGTGATAAAAAAAAACAAGAAAGCAAAAAATAAAAAATAATAATAAAAAATAAAAATAATAATAGAAACTAAAAAAAGTAAAAATAAAAGTAATCCTTCAGTTCATTCTAAGACTTTCAAGGTTTCAATCCGTAACGAAGTTGTACCTCACACCGAGTCCATTTTCAACACTGAGGCTATGCAATAAAAATCTTGACGAAATCACCGGCCCCATCTCTTCCTCTCAAAATCACAAAGGTACTTCTATCGAATTTAAATTAAAGCTTGTCTAAATGTTGCTCGGACTTATGGGGGTAAAGAAGATATCACAGAAATGGACGCTAGACATAGATTAGTACTTCAAAATATTCTTTTCTATTACACGCTGGAGGTTCCTTTTCTATATAAAAACCATCTATAAAAACTGGGGTTACTATCTTACCATCATCTAAAAAAAAATCTCTTCAGCTGCATATTTCATATACATTTTTTTTTCTTTATCAACCCATTCATGTGCAGGTGATGGCCTATCATGTCACGGGAAAAAAAAAAAAAAAAAAAGACATTAGGGGACGCCTATGAGCTCTGGAAGATGCCTTGGGAATCAAACCAAGAGCCGAGAAATATCCCAGGCATGGAGTGGCCTATGCCAACACCCCCCCACCCCCTGTCTTGCCCAAAAAATTATTCAAAATTTTACCTCTTTTGTGAATGGGTTCAAAACAATACCTATGAAACTAAAACTCAAAAAAGAAAAGAAAGAAGATAAAAAACCCTCTGCACAACAGCGATTCACCTCCAGTGTGGGATCATCCCACACGAGGGAACTAGGTGTCTTGGCATCACCTTATCAAATAATAAAACCTTTCTCCTGCCCATACTTCTACACCGCACTGATGAGATTCCATTATGCCCGTAAATATTTGGTGGATGACTACAGGTAGGAAGGGGAGAGCTATGGGGAGCTAAAACCATTATACAATGTTTACTTTAAATGCACTCCACCACACTGTGTTGCTCTACATTGCATCATGTTGCACTTTCAGTCAAGGAGACTCGGAGGAGGTTCCTTTGGGCATTCCTCAACTAAGTGGCACTTGAAGGAAGCTCTTGTACGGCCAATTCCACGGGTGTGTGGCTGATCACGGAGTATTCTGCAATAAGGGAGATCTCTCGTCTAACAACAATAATATGACGTAGAAGAAAATGCAAGAAAAGGTTAGCTATGAATGAATGATTTGTAACGAACGCTAAAAAGATGAATGCAAAATCCAACTTGTAGTAGTAAATGGATATAAATCAACATACAAAATTATATATCATAACTTTCAACCCTCAACATTATACTCAATACTATTCCCAAAATATAAGTAATAAAAAAAAATAAATAAACAAAAATAAAGTCCACTTGATAATAGTTTTGTTTTTACAGAACTTACACAGAAAAAAGAAACAAGAAAGTAGAGAGAGAGGAGAGAGAAAGGAGAGAAGGAGAGAAGGAGAGAGAGAGAGAGAGAGAGAGAGAGAGAGAGAGAGAGAGAGGAGAGAGAAGGAGAGAAGGAGAGAAGAGAGAGAGAGAGAGAGAGAGAGAGAGAGAGAGAGAGAGAGAGAGAGAGAGAGAGAGAGAGAGAGAGAGAGAGAGAGAGAGAGAGAGAGAGACAGACAGACAGACAGAGAGAGAGAGAGACAGACAGAGAATGAGCGAGAAAGAGAATGAGAGAGAAAGAGAATGAGAGAGAAAGAGAATGAGAGAGAAAGAGAATGAGAGAGAAACAGGTCAAACCACAAGACCGCTATCACCCTCACCCATTCTCCGGCTCAACCTTCTTGGCCCTCCTCGGGGGCGGAACGGGAGCAGTCCTGGTGGGCACTCTGAGAGACGGACTCTTGGGGATGCGCAGCCTCAAGTCGGGACTCTTGGCCGAGCGACTATACTTGGAAGAACTCTCAGGGACCATGGGGCTCAAACAATGGCTCATGGAGGGACTAGACGGCGCCGAGGAGAAACTGTGGGCTGGTGACGGAGAGATGAAGAGATCCTGGAGGGAGACCGACTGGAGAGGCAACAGGGCCATGGCTGCGCGCTGAGGTAGGGGGGTGCCATAGTGCTCCAGGGGATCCTGCGGGAAAATCGTGGGGAAGTGTCGGGGGCCAGAGATTAGAAGTGGAGAGGAGGACGGGACAGGAATTACGCAAAAGTAATTATAACATCTATGCCTGCGTAAGTTTACTTCAATTGTTTCAAATTCTCTCTTAAAATGGATGATGTAAGAAGTGACAAAAACTGACACTACAGCTTATGACCCTAATGTCAATACAAATCCTTTAAAAACAACCATAAAGCACCAATTAAGAACTAAAGTGAAAAAACACTATACTGTGTTAATGCAATTGCAGAAAAGCCCACTAAGAATATATGAGTATATATCTTTTTTCTGTCTTTTTCTTTTTTTGCCAATTACCAATCTTACCACCACCAAAACCTTCAAATACAACCACCAACATAATACTAAACAGCAGAATAAAAGTTGAAGACATTTTGTTTTCACTATTTACATGTGTAAAATTTCTGTCCATTACTAAATTTCTTTGGCTTTGAAAATGCCCCAGCCAGTAGAAAGCATAAAACAAAAGCATACATTATTGTAAAATCAATAATAAAAGGAAAAAAAGAAGAAAAAGAAGGAAAAATTACAACCACAGCTAATCTAATTTTTCCATCAAATGATATTGCGATAAGTGAAATTCTACTTCAGCTGTCTAGCAAATATATATTAAGTCTTCAATTTTGATATGTATCTCAAAACCTTCCTTTTACATCTGCTCATCCTGTTTAATTAAGAAAAGTTAACCTTTATATATAATTCAACATTTGTAAACTCATACTCTCAAAAAATGTATCATATCTAAGTAATAAGAATTGTACTTCAATATATTTCCCTCCCCCTCTTTTTCATAAAATAAGATAGAAAGAAAGAAAGAAAGTAAAAAATCTTGTGCCAGAAAACGGTTAAAAAATCTTGTTTATTTTTCTCTTACGATTCTTCAGTGCCTTGCAAAACAAACTATATTACCTACACTACGTAACTTCTTTTAAGCTAATGCTAAAATCAAACCTACATGAAATATATAAACCCCTCAAGATATTAACCTAGCAATGGCATATCAATACTAACTTAGAAAAGATAACAAACCTATAGTGACCCAAACAAAGGATATATAGCATCAGAAATTTGATCTCATTCATACTTCTCTACTCACTAAATATTCTGAGCGTCAGACATACTTACTTTGCCTGTTTTCCTTCTGATCTGTACCCTTAGCATGATCAGCTGGGCTCGCAAGTGATCGTAACTGAAAAATGCAACAAAGCTTGGAAAAACGGTAAGGCAACACCAACGTTCATTCCTCGTCTCTTGCATTCAGATTTACGCAGGTCTACTGTTATACAGAGAAAAGCAAATACGTTTAGGAAAAAAAAATAAAAAACAAATTAAAAATGTACACCACACAAGTTATTCACACAAAATAAGTATATACAAATCTATTTTATAAGTGACTTGCAAGGTTATAATTACAAATGTGTCAGCTTTCCTGTACCAAGAGCTCATTCAAGATAAATTTGTGACTGTCCAATCATTGCAAAGCACCACTTGCAAAACACCCACTGTTATGCATAATACTGTTAAAAATATCTTGGCAGCTAGAAGACTGTACAACACAGAAAGTGTGATAAAAAAGGTGTCTGCCTTTATATATTTATTTCCCACCATGGCATAACAAATATACAAATAAATAGATACAAAGATAGATAGATATAAAAGCACGTTTCCTGGATACTTGCATGAATCAGCTATTTTGCACCAAAATTAATTACAGTATTCTGATAACACTCCAAATTGCATTAACCCACTGCAGCAGGTTAAGTACATGCCATGCCCACTTTGAGTTTAGTTTATTAATTGTCCTTACACATAAATGGCTCCAAAAAGTGCTTATTTACACAGGAGTCAGTTATTAGTCATACCTATTTCACCTGTTTAACCTTTTCCTTGATTTCCCTAAATATTCTCTATAAACTTATACTGCTATTAGTAATGTTAATAAGATAAAGATGTTTATAATGCCTTTAATAACAATATTTGCATCTAAATTGGTAGCATTAATAACAAGCATTTTTTTCCAAGAACTCAAGGAAAGGGGAAATCAGATAAGTCATGAGATCTACTTAATGACTCCTTGGTGGCTAAACACTTACAGAGCCATCTATGTGTAAAGATATTTCACAAAAGAATACTAAAGTGGACATTATTTTCCCATCAACAATGGGTAATAAGAAATAACCTATCAGTGCTATGAAATATTAGCCATTTCCATTACCAAGTCAAATGGAATTAATCACCTATATATAAAATAATATATTGGCTTTAACACCAAGAGGCTAAAAAAAACAATCAAAACAGTGTACGTCCTGTACTTGAAAATATGGAGTTACAGCCACTGATTGTTAGACCAGCATGTACATTAATTACAGAAAAATACTGCCACAACACCACTAGCTTATATACAAACAAGCACTCTGCTACACTGAAGCTCCTTAATACTTACCTTGCGTGTAAAATTTTTCCGATCCAGGACTGAACACTGGCCTCTGAATGTGCAAAGAACAACTGCTTTCTGTCTGGATCGTCCTACAATAAAGCAAAGCATTAATATACTGAATGAAATATAAACAAAGAAACAAGAAAATTAAAAATGGTGATAAACAAACATAAGGAACGATTGTCAAGGGACAAAAATCAGATATATAAACCAATCTGTGACATATGTATTAATAGTATTGCACTTTTTCACAAATACAAGATATTTACAAGAATACAGTATCACACGCACCAACATCCAAGAACACAGAGAAAAAACCAAGCACACAGAACATTTAGTTGCAGACACAAAGCCACACTCACCATAACTTCCACAAAACATAGAGAAAAACCAAGCACACAGAACATTTAGTTGCAGACACAAAGCCACACTCACCATAACTTCCACAAAACATAGAGAAAAACCAAGCACACAGAACATTTAGTCGCAGACACAAAGCCACACGCACCATAACTTCCACAAAACATAGGGAAAAAACCAAGCACACAGAACATTTAGTCGCAGACACAAAGCCACACTCACCTTCCACCTGATAGCAAATCCGAAGGGGAGATTAGCCTCCTCTTCCCGCTGAACCTCGATGTTTTCCAGCACAAACACACCAGTGGGCTGATAGAAATGTAAAAATAAAAATTAATAATAATAATAAAAAATTAATAGGGAAAAAAAAAGGGGGGAACACATTCTCACACTGGGACTTATATTTCTCCCTAAATCTTAAACAAATTGAAAATATGAATGAAAGAGAAATAACAGAAAAAATAATTTCCTCCACAAAAAAGGACCTCAAAAACCAACTTATTTCAGAAACCTCAAAAACATTAACCTAAAACCCCTGACCCTCCATTCAAAATACTCCATCCAAAAGCCAGTATCCCAAAAGCTATACAAGATTCATCGACACCAAAAACCTCTCGTTCTATGAACTCACCTCATTTTTTTCAACTCCTCCAAACTCATTAAGTCGATAATAAAAGAGGAAGTTGGCTTTCAACTTGAACCATCGTTCCTTATAAGCTGAAAGGACAGAAGACAACGATACAGCTAGAACTCAAATATGAAAATTCAGTATAAATAAATCTAGTTTAACCCATTGCCGACGGGCATGCGATGCCATGCCCACTGTGAGTTTACTTATTTGATTGTTTTTACACATAGATGGCTACATTTGTACTAAGCCACCAATGAGCTTATTACGAGTGCTGCCTGTCTCGCCCGTTCACCCTTTTCTTTTATTTTTGAAAATATTTTACATTATCTTATTTAGCTATTACTAATCTTTATAACATTAAAGTAATTATAATGTTTATAATAAAAATAACATCATCGATATTCAAAGCACTATTAAAATATTTTCCCGCCAATTCAAGGAAAGGTGAAATCAGGTAAGGCAGAGCCATCTATATATAGAGACATTTCACAAAAAAATATAAAAAATGAGCACAGCATTTTCCCCATTCTTTATTCATTTTCTCCGTCAGCAATGGGTTAAGATTAATAACGAGTTTATGATTAATCACTACTTATCCTTTAATCTTATCTACCATTTCTTTTGAAACAAGCTTTGAACTACATCTTCCAATAGACTAAATCAGAAATAAAAATCTAAAATACAGATTCAATCTCCTATTTATGCTACTGTTTGTAAATCCACAAAGATAAAAAGAAAAGGAAAACTCAAGAAGTGTATCTACAATACACACACATTCAAAGCATTGAAAAGAGTTACCAATTAAATTATAAACACAATGAAAAGCAACTGTATGTATGAACTCAACCGAAAAAGCTAAGTAAACTAGTAAATAAATAAATAAATGAACATAAGGAAAAGCCCTTTAAATTTGATGAACAGGAAAATAATATTAAAACATAACACAAGGAAAACTAAGTCACATACATGCAGAAAAGTTAAATTGTATACACAAAGGAAAGAACATTAAATAACAACTACAATAAAAAGACTTTTCAATAAGGAACACATCAAAAAGACCTTTAAATTCTAAATGCGACAATAACCTCCAACAACAAACACCAACTGACCTGTGTCATATAATGTCCGAGGAGGACTCTTGTGAGTGAGCCTTCCCTCATGATCGCCAGGATTGAGGGCGAACTCCGCTAGCTCTTCCTCATTAAACCTCATTCTCTGGAAGACTCTGGACCCTGCTCCTTACCCCAGTGGCGCCCTGTAAGGAATAATTCACTCGGTAAATAACGATAATTAAATATCTATCAAATTGGCTGCAGAGTGAGAAGTCAGCTTTTACTTGTGTTCATTTGGTAGATTGTATCAGTAACTGGATAATTTACTTCCTTACATATATAGCTTGTACATTTTCATGCCTATTTAACACTACAAATTCCCTGATATTCTTCACCCTCCTCTACAACTGGGATCAAGTAGTGAGATATTGGGGATTTTGTGCCATAATTGCAACACACATGAATAGCAGAGGAGAATCCAACAGTACCACTTTCTTTATGAACTGGGATGTACAAGCATTCTCAACACTGACCCTAACCTTCTTAAGCAAATCATATTTACAGGTAATAATGCAGCTGCAATAAAAGACCAATTGAATATTGCTCTCTTAGCTTCACTGTAGAATTTTCAGCTTACATTATATTAGCCACCTTTTATTCAAGTATATTAAACTAATATGCATCAACCCCACAGCAAAACATGATGCAAGGGAATATTCTGCAGTAAAAAATACTTTATAATAATAGTAGTTTCCTAGTAAAAATACAATATTCTATGAATCATATGTGTGTAGCAGATTTATATTTCTGAAAAAAGCAAATTGAATAAAAAAAAAAAAAAAAAAAAAAAAAAAAAAGTTTAGCTTGTGAAACTGGACATGCACTGAAAGTCTATAGACTAAAGTACCAACTTTCAAAACCAATCCTTCAGTAAAACCTAAAGGAAAGCACACAACCATAAGTATCCTGGACCTCTATAGTTATGGCATATGTTGTAAATCTATACCTCCAGGCCAAGGGTTCTGAACACCTGTAGCATTTGTACAATACACTCTAACCATATATTATCCCCAAGGTCATCTTACAATACATCCTAACTGTATACCTCAGCTAATCCTTCGGTCAATGGGCTCTACCCATTGGAGATCCATTTGTTATAGCTACATAATCCCTGGCACTTTGTAGTCATTTACCCAATGGCGCCGGGTGTACAAAAGGAAAAAAAAACTCTACGCTCTAGCAAACAAAGGCGCCGACTTTGAGAGCACGAGTACAGGACGTCAACCCGAATCACTGGCTTGTCGCCGGCTCGTTTTGCTGCACGCCAGCTTTCGAGCGGTTTGTTTACACGCCTATCAGCGTGACCCGGCACCAAGGGGTTAACAATATGCCCAAACTATATATACAACCAACCTGACCGCCTAGCCAGGACCACCATGATAGGAAACCCCAAGCGGATATGAGATGCAATTGCACTGCAGCAAATAGAAACTTGACCTTTTTCTCTTTATAAATAACACAATAATACCTTTGCTTCTATAGATAATCTGCACTCTGAAAACCACATACATGTATACAAAAAACAAAATCTTCAATTTTATCAATTGTCTAAATTGATTGCTATCTACTTTAATTTTTTCTGTACTTGGTACACTTGATGGACTCAGATACCAAACTATAAAGGATTCTTGTGTCTATTTCCTCTGCATGACCACTATTTTGTTTTAAAATCAGCCTGTAATCAACATAACATTAGAAACATAAATGTGTCTCATCCAGCACTTGTAAATGAATGAAGGCTCATAGACCTGTTAAACACTGTAGTCATGAAAACATGCATGCACAGAGGATTCCTACAAAGAATTATATATATATATATATATATATTTTTTTTTACTATAACAATATCAAAATAATATGTAGTTTACATAAACATAGAAGAGTAAGCACTGATAACTACAAAATATTTTTCACATATATCTAACAACTATTTAACATATCTCAATAATAAATTAAGCATTTAGTGTAATATTTGAGAGTAAATATCTTGAGGGAACCAGAAAAATTTGGCTGCAGCAAAAAGGTTACATGATGCTTATAACCCATAATGGGTGAGCGTATTCCTTAATTTCACTTTCATGGTGTTAATCATCACCAACCATATTGATTGGGAATGTACAATTAATATCAAGTTTACCCATAATAACTGCCGGAACAATCATGAAAATCTCACACCAAGAAACCTATCGACTTGGACGGCACGTACACAATATAGTTTCTGTCCGCCCTGGAGCTCATTCCTGTCAAGCACCTATATTAGCAGATTTCTTTGAATTATATTTTGAAGCTGAATTACTGCATATATGGTATACTCAGAGAAGCATCCAAAAGAAAATAATAAATTGAAAAGAAGTTTTGTTAGCTGGTTATATCTGATGCAAACATTCCACTTATGGAGAGAAATTATCCAGGTGAAAGTCCAATTCACAGTTACTGAAGTAGCTGAAAAACAAGTATACGAAAAATCATCCCAAACACATCAAAATCCAAACAGGAAATTTTCTAGATGAAAAAAATATAACCTATATATAACAAGCCACTGCCACTCAAAAAAGCTCAAAATCACTTTCCCACAACTCCTCCCTTACAAAACCAAGCAAAGACAGGTTAAAACCGGTATACCTTTATACCGTGAAAGTTACAACAACCTTAACTAACCACGAGCCAAGAAGGGTGTGCCTGTTCAGATCGTCCGTTAATCAAGTTCTTAGTAATCAAGTCACAGTCAACTATTTCACTGAAAACGTCTATCTTATCCTTATAACTCACAGGAAACGTATTACTAATGCACAGTAACAAGGTCAGGCAGGTATTAAGCTCTCAAAATCTCGGTTCTGAACCCTATAAACCTCACGATTGCTCGAACTCACTACTGAAAATCCTCCAAAATTAAGAGAATAAGAGAAAAAAGGCCAAAAAATATCCAAAATCAGACCTACTTTCTCGAAATATAGAGGAAATACACGCACCGAAATTTCTCACCTCCATGGAATAACATCTCTTATTTTAAGCTCTACAACCTTTTATTCATCAATAATAACATTCCTCTCATCTCACTAGACTCACATGAAACTCAAAAAAAGCTTCAGCGTTGAAAATAATCCCACGAAAAGGCGAAAAAAGGAAGAAATAAGGAGACGACCGAGGTGTCTTCTTCTTCTTCTTCTTTCTTGTTATAGGGTTTTAGACGACTGTTGTCTATATCCCCTGGATCTTCTTTTTTTTTTTTGCTTCTTGTTTCTTAAATTATATCAAATAATTTGGTTGTTTGTAGGAAAATCTTTGTGTGTCTTAATATGTAGTACTTTATTGTAGATGGTTGATCTGCACCTGTAATCAGAAGATTAATGTCAATATCATTAATTTTTACTCGTCTTAATGCATCTTTTAATTTTGTTCTGTGAGAGTTGAATCTTGGGCAGTATAAAAACATGTGTTCTATGGTCTCTTCTTGGTTCTTGCACCATCTGCAGAAGGGGTCATTTTCCATTTTCATTCTGTAAAGATGTTGTTTTAGTCTTGTGTGTTTGGTTGTGAGTCTTGAGATGCATGTGTCTAGTTTTCTATATTTTGCTCTAGTCCATGGCTTTTCAGTGTTATCTTTGATGAGGTAATTTTTTGTACTTAGGATTCTTTTTAAGTTTGATTCCCATTGTTTGTTATTCTTTATCTTAATTTCTTTTATGATATAATTTGGATCTGGTGGTATAGACATGTGATTATTTATTTCATGGGCCTTCTTTGCCGCTAGGTCAACAATTTCATTTCCCTTAATGTTTTTGTGTGATGGAATCCACTGTATCTTAATCTCTTGTTTTCTTGTTGAGAGAAAGTGTATCTGTTTTTGTATTTCGTATGTGATTTGTTTATAATTTAGTGGTTTAGAGTTTTTTATTAATTGTAAGGATGATTGAGAGTCTGTTAGTATTATAGTTTTTGTCAGTTTATTATTTATTACATACTTTAGTCCTTGTTTTATGGCAAATAATTCTGCGTGTGTGATTTCTATTTTAGGAGGCAATTTCCAAATAGTTGTTATATTTTTGTTTTGGATGTAGATTGCTGCTGAAGTTGAATCTGGTTCTTTTATTTTTGATCCATCAGTGAAAATTCTGTTAAAGTCTTTATAATTCGTATTTATTAACTCCTGGAATTGTTTTTGGATGATTATTTGAGGAGTATTTTTTGTTATATTATTCATAAAGTCTATTTGTACATTTTCTGAAATATCATACCAAGGTGGTATTGGGGATATGTTTGGGATTTCATTTGGATTTATGTTTATATTTAGGTTTATTTTTGTTTCCGTAGCTCTGTATACTAGAGATCTTTTATCTCTTTGAGGATTATATTCATTTATGCAGTTTGTTATTTGTTGTTTTACTGGTGTCTTGTTTGGTTTATTTAGAATTTTTGTTAGTTGAATGCATTCAAGTTCTTTTATTCTTTGTGATAAAGATGGGATGTTTGTTAATGCTTGAAGAGCTATTATTGGAGATGTTCTAAAACATCCTGTTGCCAGTCTTAAAATTTGGTTTTGTAGTGTTTCAAGTTTTTTTAAATCGGATTCCTTTGCTGCTCCATAAATTGTTGATCCATATTCAATTTTTGGTTTTATGTATATTTTATAGAACTTTAATAGAGTTTCTCTATTTGCTCCCCAATTTAGTGAAGTTAGTTTTTTCATTATGTTTATTCTATTTAAGATATCTACTTTTAGGTTTTCTAAATGTTTTTTCCATTTTAGTTTGGGGGCGTCTAAAGTTAGGCCTAAAATTTTATGGCTTAGAGTGTATTTGATTTCTATGTTATCTATTCTTATTTTTGGTAGTTGGTTTATCTTTTTATTTGAAAAGCACATTAGTTTACTTTTTGTGAAGTTTATTTTCAGGTCCCAGTGATTGGCCCAATCTTTTAATTTTTGTAGTTCTCTTTCTATTTTGTTTGATGCTTCTATTAAGTTTTTATTACTTGTTAATAAGGTTATATCATCTGCATATATAATCTTTTCAATTTCTTTTGATAATTTTAGATCATTTAGCATTATATTGAATAAAGTTGGGCTTATTGGTGAGCCTTGAGGTACTCCACTTTTTATTGTTCCTTTTTCGGAGGTTTGATTTCCAATTTTTATTTGGAAAGTTCTTTTTTCTAGTAAGTTATACAGCCATTTTAGGGGTTTTCCCGTGATGCCTAATTTCGACATTTTTATTAGAAGTGCTTCGTGGTTGACTGTGTCGAAAGCTTTTTCTAAATCAATGCATGCTACAATTATATATTTTTTGTCTATGAATGCTTTGTTTATGTGGCTATCAATTGTATGTAGTGCATCAATGGTACTTTTATTAGGTCTGAATCCAGTTAGGTCTACATCTAGCTTATCATTGTGTTCTAGCCACCATATTAATCTTTTGGTTATTATATTTTCGAATATCTTTCCAATACATGAGATTCTGCTTATGAATCTGTAAGAGTTTGATTCTGAAGGGTTTTTACCCGGTTTTAATATGGGGTTTATTATGGCATTTTTTAGTGATTCTGGGTATTCTCCTTTAATCCAGTATGAATTGATATTGGTTAGGATTGCCTCTAGTATATTGTTTGGAGCATTCTTATAAAATTCATATGTCATTTCGTCTGGTCCGTATGCTTTATTGTTTTTGGCACTATTAATTGCTGCTCTTAATTCTATGAGGGTTATTTCTTTATTTATTTCATTAGTGTTCTTTAAGTTGAATAATCTTTCTTTTTCTAATTCTGACATAAGTTTTTTGGGATTTTTGCTTACTGTTTCCATATATTCTTTTTTGAATTTGTCTAATTTTTGTGCAATTTCTGTTAATGGCAGATCATTTTCAATTAATGGATATTCCATTGTAGTTATTTTTCCTGTTTGTTTCTTTAGGAAATTCCAAATCATTTTAGGTGAGGTTTTAAAATCTAATGTTGCACAAAACTTTTCCCATGATTCCCTTTTTGTTTGTGTTATTTTAAGTCTAGCTTTTGCTAATAGTTTCTTATATTCTTTTTGGTTTATTAATGTTGGCTTTTTTCTCCATTTGTTATAGGCTTTGTTTTTTTCTTTTATAATATCATTGCATTCTTTATTCCACCATGGTTTATTTGGTTTGTCTTTGTATTTCCGTGTTTCTAATTTAAAATATTTTAAGGCCGTGTTTTTTATAATCTCTGAAATTTCTTTGAGTGAGGTTAGATTTCCTGTTTCTATGCTGTTTAAATCTTGTTGAATGTCCCTCCACCCTTCTTTTGTATATTGCCACTTTTTTTCTTTTAGTAGGTTATTATCTATGTATGAATTATCATTTATTATTATTGGTAAGTGGTCACTGTCTAAATGAAAAGCTGTTTTTAGTTGGATATGACTTAGGGTTGGAGAACCAAATATTAGATCTAAGGTTGATTCTTTGGCTGTTTTAGGGTCTATTCTAGTTATTTGATTTTTTGGGGTTAGCATTATTAGATTGTTTTGACTGATCCATTTTATTATGTTTTTGCCTGTTGCATTAATTTGTCTATTACTTATGTTTTCATTCCAATAAGGATGATGGGCATTAAAGTCTCCCATTATTAATTTTGGATCTGTAATTTGCTCTGAGTAATATTGTAGTTCTTCTGTTTTTATATCATTACATGGGTTGTATATTATTAATATATTAAGCCATTTTCTTTTATAGTTTATTTTTATTCCTAAGGTTTCTAATTTTTCCCTATGTATATCTCTTAGATTTATTTCTTTAAACTGTACATCGTTTTTGATGCATATGGCTAAGCCTCCTCCTACTTGGTTTACTCGGTCTTTCCTGATTATTGTGTAATTATTTAGAGTAAATTTATCTTTTTCTTTTAACCATGTTTCTGTTATGGCTATTATATTTGGGTTTTCTTTAAAAATTAAATAATTTAGGTTAGTTTTCTTGTTTAACACAGATCTTGCATTCCACAATATTAAGTTTTTCATATTGCCTTTAGCATGTTGCTAATCTCCTTTATCACATCCATTATGTTTTGTATTATTGGTTTATCCGAGTTTAAATTGTTTATTATTTTTGTTATTATTTTAAATATATTTGAGGCTAGTTTTATCCAAGAGAAATCCTCTTCATTTTTTTCATTGTTATCATCATTGGTGGTATCTTTGTGGGTTAGTGGGGTTGGTAGTGACCAAGTAACTGGTGAATTTAGTGTGTCTTTTTGTTTGTTGTTTGTTTTAGATTTTTCTTTTTCATATTGTGTTTGTTCGTTTTCATCAAAACATGTAGTTTGTTGTGTGGTGTTTGGAGTTCTTATCCTCTTTCTGTTTGGAGTTAGGTTATTTGTTCTGTTTGGGGTTCTTTGACCTAAAGTGAGGCTTTGTGGTTCTGTTAATTTCTGTGCATATGTTTGTGTTCTGTTTTCTTCTGTAGGTTGAGGTGTTGTGGTTACTTGAACTTCTTGTGTGTTATTTGTTTGTGTAAACATATTTGGTTGTTGTGTTTCACTACTTATGTTTTTTGTTATTGGTTTTAGTTGTTGCAACTGTTTTTTTATCTCTAAGTTATTTGGTGTTATATTTTCTTTGTTTATTTCTTGAGCTAACTTATGGACTGTGCATTCATTTGTGTTTGGTGCATGATTATCATCACAGTAAAAACAATGAGAGTTATTAGGGCAATCTTTATAATTATGTCCATATTGGCTACAGTTATTGCATCTTTTTTTATTTTTGCAAGTTACTGTCCCATGTCCATACCTTAAACAATTGTAACATTTTAATATTGGGAAAGTGTACTGCCTCACTTGGTAGCTTGTATGGCCAATTGCTACTCTTTTGGGTAATGCTCCTTTAAAAGTTATTCTTAAGGATTTGGTGGGAACCCATTTTTCTTCACTTTTTTTGTCATTATTTTGTTTTTTTAATCTTATTATTTCAGTAATTTCATTAGACTCATATCCTAAGGTTCTTATCTTTTCTTTGATATTTTCCATGTTGAGGTCGGTTTCTACTGGGAAAATTGTTCCATAGGAACAGTTTGTATATTTGTTTGAAGTTGGTTGCTTACAAACTACTTCCCATTCTCCAAGTTTGTTTATTTGATTTAATGGCCTTATTTTTTTTATATCTTTGATTTCGAATCTGAGAGCTTTTCCTG